CCAGGGCGAAATTACTTTTGTTACATTACTCTATATGTAATAGAGTGACTATAAGTTTGATATAACACAATTTCATACAACATATATAATTAGGAGGTCCCCGCTCCATCTCGCCATCCATTTGGGGGTCATTGACCTGGAAAACATTGAAGACCCCTGTTGTAGAGTATATACAGGTGCTGGTCATAAAATTAGAATATCATGAAAAAGTAGATTGATTTCAGTAATTCCATTTAAAAAGTGAAACTTGTATATTATATTCATACATTACATACAAACTCATATATTTCAGATGTTTATTTTGTTTAATTTTGATGATTACAAATGACAACAAATGAAAATCTCAAATTCATCATATCAGAAAATTAGAATATTACTGAAGACCAATAAAAACAAAGGATATATAGAAATGTTGGCCAACTGAAAAGTATGAACATGAAAAGTATGAGCATGTACAGCACTCAGTATTTAGTTGGGCCTCCTTTGGCCTGTATTACTGCAGCAATGCGGCGTGGCATGGAGTCGATCGGTCTGTGGCACTGCTCAGGTGTTATGATAGCCCAGGTTGCTCTAATAGTGGCTTTTAGCTCTTCTGAATTGTTGGGTCTGGTGTATTGCATCTTCTTCTTCACAATACCCCATTGATTTTCTATGGGGTTAAGGTCAGGAGAGTTTGCTGGCCAATTAAGAACAGGGATACCATGGTCCTTCAACCAGGTACTGGTAGCTTTGGCACTGTGTGCAGGTGCCAAGTCCTGTTGGAAAGTGAAATCTGCATCTCCAAAAAGTTGGTCAGCTGCAGGAAGCATGAAGTGCTCTAAAACTTCCTGGTATGTGGCTGCGTTGACCCTGGACCTCAGAAAACACAATGGACCAACACCAGCAGATGACATGGCACCCCAAACCATCACTGACTGTGGAAACTTTACACTGGACTTCAAGCAACGTGGATGAAGTGCCTCTCTTCTTTTCCTCCAGACTCTGGGACCTTGATTTCCAAAGGAAATGCAAAATTTACTTTCATCAGAGAACATGACTTTGGACCACTCACCAGCAGTCCAGTCCTGTTTCTCTTTAGACGCTTCTGACGCTGTCTGTGGTTCAAGAGTGGCTTGACACAAGGAATGCGACAGCAGAAACCCATGTCTTTCATACGTCTGTGTGTGGTGGTTCTTGAAGCACTCACTCCAGCTGCAGTCCACTCTTTGTGAATCTCCCCCACATTTTTGAAGGGGTTTTGTTTCACAATCTTCTCCAGGGTGCGGTTATCTCTCTTGCTTGTACACTTTTTTCGACCACATCTTTTCCTTCCCTTCGCCTCTCTATTAATGTGCTTGGACACTGAGCTCTGTGAACAGCCAGCCTCTTTAGCGATGACCTTTTGTGTCTTGCCCTCCTTGTGCAAGGTGTCGATGGTCGTCTTTTGGACAACTGTCAAGTCAGCAGTCTTCCCCATGATTGTGTAGCCTATAGAACTAGACTGAAAGACCATTTAAAGGCTTTTGCAGGTGGTTTGAGTTAATTAGCTGATTAGAGTGTGGCACCAGGGGCCATCAATTTTGAACCTTTTCACAATATTCTAATTTTCTGATATGATGAATTTGAGATTTTCATTTGTTGTCATTTGTAATCATCAAAATTAAACAAAATAAACATCTGAAATATATGAGTTTGTATGTAATGTATGAATATAATATACAAGTTTCACTTTTTAAATGGAATTACTGAAATCAATCTACTTTTTCATGATATTCTAATTTTATGACCAGCACCTGTACACTCCAGTTAACTATTAATAATTTCTAAATTAGCTTCTGATTATTCTAATTATCGACTAATCCGATTGTTTCAGCGCTTTTTGTCACAATGACAATGATTAGAGTTACCAGCATATGTTAGCTTTGCTAGCATTTATACGTTTTCAAAGAATTCATACCCTTAACTTAGGTCTGCACAATAAATAAATATCAATATTTATGGAATTGTAATTTTACTTAATAACAGTGGTGTCTGATTTGCTGAAATCTGATACAGACTGCAGTCTTGTTACTTTTTTTAAACAATCATTTCTAAAATGTTCGATTTTAGGAGTTTAACAAACTTTGTGAGGTTGAGAAGTTTGTACTGGATTGTTGGTCATTTTACCGAGGCTTTTATATCGTTTATGTCGATATCTGAATTTGATCATTTTGACCAAAATCAAGAAATATATAGTGATATGAGTTTTGGCCTTATTATCCTAAATGTAAGATTCTCAGGAGAATGTTTCCAAATATTCAATGTTCCAAGGTGAAAAGGGAGAATGTTTGGCCTTCCTGTTATCTGCTAAAAGTCTGGCTCTCCCTTCCTCTTTCACAGTATTGATTAATGGATTTGAAAGCATTTAAATTAGAATGCATTAAATTACATCGTTAAATGCGATTGATTAAACAAAGTGTAGAAATATGAAATGTCTGATTATTTATTTATTTAATTTAACAATTGTTTTGTTGTTTAGATCTGAAACTTGTTCAACATTTATCATTGTGAAGTATCCTAAAAATTAAGAAAGACAACTATCATCTTCACAAATCAGCTGGTAGTATCGGAGATCAGTTAGAGCATCATTGGTCTTACGAACCGTGTATCTGTCGATCTCTACTGTCAAAGCTAAAGCCAGGTGATATAAAAAAATTGTTATTACAGTATCCCATTAACAAGCGGTTTGAATAATGATCACTGTCCTTACTCAGATTAAGTCTAGGTTCTAAGATGAGATCTGTTTCCAAAAGAACTAAAGTAAAGAACAAATGAAGTTGCCAGTAAATTAATATTAGCAGAGATTTATACTTAGAAGCTATTCTAAACTGAAAGAGGAAGTATTTTGGGTTTAAAAGCTAAAACCTTTGTGTTTCGGCAGAGTCTGAGGTCAGTATTTGGCAGGACTCATCTTTTTGCTATTACCTCCTCTGGGTGTTTGCCTACTACTTTCCAGTTCGTGATGCTTTCCAGTACCTTTCGGACTTCGGTTAAACCCTATAGTGTGTGCCCCCCACTCCTCCTCCTCCTCCTCTCTGCCATGGCTCTCCTGTCCTGCCATTCCATGCCCCCCTCAATCATGGCTGACAAACAGAGGAGCAGCATTCCAGTAGTGCCCCCCTGTCAAAGCTTCTGCATTGTGTCGGTGTGCTCACATTGTTGTATCAGACAAAGCGCTGCTCTCAGGGGAATAACGCAGCTGGACGGCAGCCATGGAGCAGGTCATCCAGGGCCTCCAGGCCGACCTGACAGCTGGGGCCCGGCCTTGGTAGCAGGGCAGGAAACAAACTTGAACCTCTTGGCCTGTGTGTGTCTACTGGCAGCAAACAGAAGCCAAAGTCTGCCACCTACACTTGCCTTCATTCCTGTGTTTCTCTGCTAGCCTCACAGTCACTGAACTCTCTTCATTTCTTCTCTTAAGTTAAAAATTTTCTAAAACTATATTTTAATGTGAGCAAACAATGTTTTTTGTGTGGTCGGATTAAATTAGCACCTGCTTCTTATTTTAACCCAATTAATTATCAATATATTTATCTTGTTAATCTGCCAAAATAGTGAGTCCAAGTTTTTATTCTTTAGGATTTTAGGAAAGTTTTATTCATAAAAATCCACTAATCCACTAATAGAAATAGCATTACATCACAATGTTTTTTTTTTTTTTCCAATTTAAATGCTTACGTTTTTAGTTCTCATTCCCAGATTAACTTGAACTTGTTCCCCAACAAACACAGTAACTGGATTATACTAGATTTATGGTGTTTATATTTTTTTGCTTAAACTGGAATATATATTACATTGAGAATGAGTATATACTTTTGAGTTAGGAGAAAGATGACATGTACGGCTGTAAGCCTTCTGCTCCAAACGAAGTTTCTGCTGTCCTGTTGTTCTCTTCCACAACATCTTCTCCCCTCTTTCCTCCTCTAAATAAAAAATGTATGATGGAGGAGAATCATCCACGACCTCCGACACAAAACTCTCCTCCTCTTGCATGTTTCCGCTGTCCATAGCGTTCCTTGACAGCGTTGTTTCTAAGTCACCAATTTAGTGCTACTTGGTCCCAATGGAATTTTCCCATTGGGAACCTACTAGCACTAAGTTGCTAACTGGTTAGCAAGATGCTTCTGACAAACCGGCCACAATCAAATTTGCTTGCGAACTTTCCGCAACATAAATCCCGCCCCTTGATAAACGACCAATCACATTCACTTTATTCACTCGTGTAACGGTTGGAACAGCTGCTTCCCTACGAATTTAATTCATAAGTATCAGTCTTCTGATGAGCTTTTCCACTGTTGATACCCCTGCTACCTTTTAGTTAAATTTGATTATCTAAAAGAATGTACATGTAATTTAGTTTCAGGATGAATATTAACACTTGAAGTTATTTTACATTTTACAGGTACTTTTGAATTTATTTAAGCTGAATTTAGTTTTTTTTAATAACCTTCTGTCTTGTCAATGTTGACATTTCTCCTACATTATACAGTATAAAATTAAAACCACATAAAATTATGTGGTTTTTATTTTCTTTGCTTTTGTTCCAAAAATAAGTAGTCCAAAAATAAATCAGTCGATGACCCCCCCCCCAAACCTTCCCATTAGTATTGTATCAATACAATACTAAAGGGATATCCTTAAGATTAGTAATGACAAACATAGTAGAAAGTGAATTGTTTAGATATAAAATGTAATATGAAATGAAATAAATAAATAAAACTATACAGAGCATCACCTTCAGCCACCCTAGTAGTGGGGGTGGGGAAAAAAATAAATTTTCTTCCATAGTTCCACAGCTCCAGGCCACACTTTTCAGATTTGTATTTGTAGAACAAAGGAAAGGATTTCAACCTTTTCCCACTATTTAAAAATGACACGCTGCTGTATGTTGGTCTGCCTCATAAAATGTAAATTAACAATTCAAGATGCTGGTTTAATGGTTTTATCATGACTTTTTCTCTTTTTTGTTTCTGTTTTCACAGACTGAGCGACAGAGGTCCACCATGTGCCTCCTCTTCCTCCTCCTGCTCCTCATCATCTCTTATATTGGGGGACACTTGACTCTGCCTTTGACCTTTGCCACCCCCAACCCCCCCTCCAACAGTGACCTTCGACCTTCAGTCACACTAAGAAGCTGCTTTCATCTGGTCGCAGACGACATGACAAACCTAAAAAAAATGCTTGCGGGTTTTATTATTTTTTTCATTGTTAAATGTTTTTGTGTTTTATATGCACATCCTGTCCTGTTATCATGAGGAATCATCCTCTTCAACAATAGATGCTGCCAGCGTTTGCTGCCCCGCCCCCTTTAGTTCAACACTATTATTCACCAGGCAGTGGTCAGTGAACTTTAACTGAGGTGTGTAAACACAAGCACAGGTATTTTTTTTTTTTTTCTCTCCTTATGCGGTATTATAAAAAAAAAAGGGAAATTTTGAGCTAAAAGCAAAGGCATTATGGTACAAACTTGGAAGCTTGAAATATCCTTCTGTCGTTCACCATTTAAATTTGTTTTACCCTATGCATAATCTATCATCCAGATTATTTAAATTAGTTTTTTTTTGTAAGAACACCTTTTATAGATTTTTATTTTTTTCAACTCTTGTTCGGTACAAAACTTATTTCTGGGTCCATTTTAGCTTCTCTCTCAGAGTGCGCGCTCGTTTCCCAGGTACAACATGGCTCCTTAAAAACCTGCTGCAATACTGCGCCAGTATCTGTGTGTCCCTATAGTGGGAAAACAAACATTACAGTATTTATTTTGCAAGCTATACGTTATTTATTTGTTTAAACAGGTACAGACGGTCCGCTACATTTCACACTTCCACACTAAAGGTACTCAGCAGAGCGGGAAAATCAAAGCCACTAGCTAGTTTTTTTTAACTTTTGTCTTTTGTAGTGGAAGGTTTAGATCACCTGGAAAAATTACTTAAAAGATGTTTAATACTATATAAAAAATATAATTCTACAGAAAATACATAGCAAAAGTCAAACTAGGTAACATAAACAAAACTTTGATCAGTTCTTTCTCTCCAGACTGCAATATTAGCCTCCTGGATGCTAAAGCTAACAGCTAGCTTGGGCGGAGTCGACGTCAAAAACCAGCTGTATTACATTCTCTCTCTGTTGTTTTTTTTTTTGAACACTCTTTTGGAAATCCTCTTAAACATTCATTACGATTCAGTTTCATTAATATTTAAATAGATGCTTCAAATTATTTGTAGTAACATGAAGTTGGAGGCTCTGCACCACCAAAAACCTTCCTGAGTGAAACCCCGAATCAATGACGCAGGAGAAAAGGAAATACTACAAATGATATTTCAGTGAGTGCCTCCTAGCTGCTTATAGTAATTTTGAGATTGGAGTCGATTTATGTTGTGAGAAGTCGCTTTGGCTACTGCAGCAGTTAAACTGCTAACTGGTTATATTTTTTAAACAAGCAGTTGCTTCATAAATCATAAGGAGCCCTTTAAAAGATGGCAACATTTTCAGGCTTTTATCGCCCAGATAAATGGTATTTAATTATCCATCAATAGACATCACATTATGATGACATCACTGACTATTTTATATGTTTAAGCACAAGATTTTGGTTTCTCAATTTGCCTTTGAAAGGAAATAAGATGGCCATCTATCAGAAGATCATAAAGGAATGTGAAATTAAGATTATCCTTAAAACAAAAATCTATTATTTGCTTTTTATTTTTGCTTCCTACTATGTTGACCATTTTGAACTATGTTGAGCCTTTCCCGAAACATCACTTCCCGTCAAAGAGATGTTGTTTTTACTTCAAAGATCGATTTAAAGATCCAGATCTGCCCACAGTATAAATACTGTCTCCATTAAGCATGATATTTTGTAAAGATTAGATTTTCTGCCTTATTTCCAACTCCTATTAACACCTGAATCTGTTTGGGGATGAAACCTGCTTGTTTTTTTCTCAAAAAGCCTTTCAGGATAACTTTATGACTTAATTAGAAATAAGATTTTCACTCTACAGATTCCCACTCAGGCTTTCTGTGCTATAACCACCACAGCTGAGTGGTTTATAGGTGTCTGACTTTTTCAGTTAAACAAAAACTAAACAAAAGGTGAACTGATGTCATAGAGAACTGGAGCTTCAGTTATTTTTAGCATCGCTTTGCTTTCAAATTGATTTAGAAGCGGAAATCAAGAGTGATTTAGATGGGCTCTCACTTAAAACCTTGAACATAGAGGATCAGAGTGAAAACATCGGAAATGATTCATTCTTAAATTTTGACCTAAAATAAAAACTGATTTTCTTTAATATAGTTGATGTTTATATATACTGAGATTAAAAAGCTTTTCTGGTGGTTACGTGTTATTTCCCCGCTCTGCTGCTTGTTGGTTTATCATTTTATTAGATCTTTGGTTCAGTTTTACCTCATGGTCCTCAGAACAGTTCATTTAGAAGTCCGGCCAACGGCTGGCGCTCGCAGCTGGATGCACAGGCGTAAGACGCGGCGGAGTGACGAGAGCCACTCGTCCTCACGGGCTCTTGATTTCGGTCGGTCAGGATTTTTCACACGTCGATGTTCGTCAGAGGCCGGGCATGACGTCAAAGAGAGGGTTCCAGTAACCCGAGCTGCACGCCCAGGTGCAGCAGGCGGCTCGCCGCCTCCCTCTCAAATCAGTGTTCAGCATTTCTGATCCAGCTTTTTTTTCTATTATAGGCGCTTAAGTTCCTTTATTTTATATTTAACTATTTTTATTTTCCCAATTTTTATTTTTTATTATTATTTTTGCACAGCCAGAGGATGACTTTAAACTCATGGCTTCATCAGAGCTGAGCTGGGAGGGATGACTGTTAGGAAGGCTGGTGTGTTCTTCATCAAACGAGTGGCAACATCTCCCCCATCAATATATCTCCTGTTTTTAAGTTCCAGTGTTAACAAAACCATGTGGGAAACAGCTTTTAAGAGGTGAATTTGTCATGTAAGGGGTGGGGTTAACTGACTGTTTCATTGTATGTGGAGGTAAAGGGGGTGAATAACCTCCAAAAAGTGCTGTTGAATAGTTTTAAGCCTGTGCCGTGTCTTATGTGTATATTTTCAAACATTTATTTTTGTTGTTTTTTCATTCGCCCCTTGATTTACCTCCTTTTGATTGAACAAAGATTTAATCCCAAGAGCGCATATAGGCCGTAGCGGCCAGATATAAATGGGTTATTGTTTTTCTTTTTTCTTTTTTTTTTATGTTTGCAGACAAATTTCTTCTGTATTTATGCTACAGCAATGTTTTGCATTTGGGTTTTGATGCTTGTGGCAGGAGAAAAAAAAATGGTAGTGTTTAGAGTTTTGTTGGGATATTTGGACAGATCCCTGTTAATTTATTCAGAAATGTCCATGTTGGAATGCCTTCTTGTTGGACTTCTCCCCAACCCCATTGCAGTTTCACTCATATCTCTCAATTTACAGAAAAGGTTAGTTTATTTTTTGGGCAACAATGCAACCTCAAATGTCCTCTATGTTTTTAAATGGGTACGAAAATGAGGAGACTTGATTCCCTTAGAGAAGTGAAATAAGGTGATGCATTATTATTATTATTGTTGTTATTATGCAAACTTTAGTTTGATTCTTCTCAATTTTTTTGATTTCTTTCCTACTCTAGTTTACAGACAGTAAAAAAAAACACTTATTTTTTTCGGAAAACAGAACAATAAAGTTGTTTTTTTCTCTTCAATTACTTAGGCATTTTGCAGTTATTTGTATAAAAAAACAACCTGCCTAATGTTTATTTTTTGTAACTATAATCCAGTTTATTTGCTGCTTTGTAGTACAGGTACGAGTCGGAGGCAAACACGAGGATCAGAAGATGATCGTTGCCCCGTCTGTTTTTGTTTTGTTTTCCCCACCTGCCCTTTGAATGCTTTTGATTCTTGCAGTGGGCTTCGGTGGAAGCCGGGGAGAAGAAGTGACTCCCGCCCTGCCCTGCTGCTTGTGTTTCTATTTTTCCGAGTTGAATGCTGTTGTTAATTAGCTTTACAGGAAAGAGAGAGGAGGAAGTGTGTTTCCTTTGTACATTGAGGAAAATAAATATTGAAAACCCTGCTATTTTGCAAGTTCTCTCACTTAGAAATCATGGAGGGGTCTGATATTGTCACCATAAGTGCATATCCACTGTTAGAGACATAATCTAAAAAAAAAATCCAGAAATCAAAATGTATGATTTTTTTTTACTTATTTGTTTGATACAACTGCAAATAAGAATTTGAACACTAGAGAAAATAATGTTAATATTTGATACAGTAGCCTTTGTTTGGAATCAAAGAGGTCAAAAGTTTCAATTTCAATTCAGTTTACACAGCACCAATTCACAACACATGTCATCTCAAGGCACATAGAGTCAGATTGGTTCCAAGTTTTCTACCTAAAGAAAATCAACTGATTGAATCGACTCATTGACTCAAAGGCAATCCCTCAGTTTTCCTGTAGTTTTTTCAGGTTTGTACACACTGTATGAGGGATTTTGGCCCACTCCTCCAGACAGTGACAGGGCTTTCGCTGAGAAATAAAAAAGGAGTTTGAGCTCCCTCCAAAAATTCTCTATTGGGTTTAGAGACTGGCTAGGCCATGCCAGAACCTTGATATGCTTCTTTCAGAGCCACTGCTTGGTTTATCTGGCTGTGTGCTTCTGGTCATTGACATGTTGGAAAACCCAGTCTCCACCCATCTTCAATGCTCTAACTTAGCAATATTATCTAACTTAGGCAATACATGGTCATCATCTCCTTAATACAGTGCAGTCTCCCTGTCACATGTGAAGATAAACACCCCCACATAATGATGCTACCACCCCCATGCCTCACAATAGGGATGGTGTTCTTGGGATGGTACTCATCATTCTTCAAACGATCAGTGGAATTATGACAAAAAAGTTCTATTTTGGTCTCATCAGACCACATGACTTTCTCCCATAACTGTTCTGGATCATCCAGATGATCATTGGCAAACTAAAGACGGGCCTGTGCTGCTTTGAGCAGAGGAACTATCCGTGCCATGCGTGATTTGAAACCATGACGTCTTAGTGTATTACCAACAGCAACCATGGAAACCATGGTCTAGGGTCATTGACCAGCTCCCCCTGTGCATTTCTGGGCTGATTTCTCACCTTTCTTAGGATCATTGAGACCCACAAGGTCGATCTCCCTCAGACTGGGGCAGTCATGTTTAGCTTCTTCCATTTTCTAATGATTGATCCAACAGGGAATCTTTTTTTCTAGTGT